AATCAACAAAACTGTCTTGGAAGAAGTATAGCCAGAATGCTCCTTGGAGGCAAGAATGGCCAGACTTTGTCACTCATATTTTGGTCGTGTTATCACGAGGGACCAGTTCCTGGTGAAAGATATCATGCTTGGTAAAGAAAAGGGTGGCAAAAAAGGGGTAAGACCCTCAGCAAGATGGATTGACAACAGTGAGTGCAACAGTGGGCCCAAGCATAGCAAGGACTGTGAGGATGGCCCAGGACCAGAGCCTGTTTCATTCTGTTGCACACAGGGCTGCTGTGAGTCAAAACTGACTCAGTCACACCCAACAACAAGACCCAGATAGAAACTTACCTGAGAAACATGGAACACCTTGTGCGTTTCAGAACACACCCAGCTCAGGACTCTCAGTTTAAGAGCTAATTTTATTGCCTCAAAATCATTTCCATTTTGTTTATTTTCTCCATATCTCAACTTCAAGATCAAAAAGAACCTAATAAAATATTTATGTCATCACTAGAAAGACGAAGCAGCGACAGGAAATGTGTTACCCTTGTGATTCTGCTCTTTGGCACGTATATAAGTGAAATTCAGGCTAAATCCATAACGTGTCATTTCTATTCATTTGGAATTAAGAAAAATAACCTTTTGGTTACTTAAGGATAAGTAGAAGTTTAATAGCTCTCAAAGAAGCCTAAGCATTTCTCCAAGTCGTTGAAATTTGATTCCTCTTAAGCACATCGGTATCTACATTACCCAAATGTTTGAAATTTCCACCCAAGGAAACTCCAGTTTCTCTGCATACAGAAGCAGCTCTTGGGTTTTTATAACCAAAAAATTAGGTCAGGTATTACGTTTGCCCTATTGTGCAGGAACTGGATGAACTCTGCTCATCTGGCTGGTTCTTCATGTTACCTCAGCCCCAAATCAAACCCAGAAAACATGACCTCCAGGGAAGAGACATCATTAGCAGTTTGCCAGAATCACTGCAAGGCTGCTGGGCTTCCTACACGCCACATAGCAAAAGGTGTTCTTTACCCTCAGGAGGCTTTCAACCAAAGAGCGGTTATGAATACACCTAAGTATAGATCATTTTCCAAGTACTAGGAGGGAAAGGCCTAAGGAAAGAGTTTAACTTCTTTTAAAAGAAGAGTATTTTCTCATTATTTGGGGCAATGAAAAGAAAATGGGGACATGGAAGAAGAGAAAGCAAATAAAGAACAGACACCAAAGGAGGGCCATAGTTTCCAGCTGAGCAGTGTATGGCCGGGAGTGCAGCATGCCCAGATCATCAGTCACACCCTAGGACTAGAAGCTCCGAGAATCCAGTTTCTTAATTATCAGAGATTGGATTATCTTCAGCATAGCCAAAGGGGGGGGGATGTTTTTGACAAAATTTGATAAGGATTTTATTGGCTATTGGCTTCACTAAAATAAGTCCTTCTGAGTTACCCCTAACTCAAAATGTTCACTCCTTTGCTTTAAGTTCTGTCTGCATTAAGTATTTATTTTCTTATCATGTCATTTTCTTCAATAAATCCCCCTACACACACACATACACATACTACTCCCAACTCCTTTATCTCCAAAACTCTTTTATAAGACATAGTTGAGTTGTGAGAATAGCAACATTCTTACCTTGAAAAGAATGGAAGCATTAAACTAAAATTACTTAATATAAATGTTGGCAATTTTAGCTACAGAAAGTAAACACAAAACAGCTTTTTTGGCTTAGGGAAAAAGTCTCCTCAGCATCCCTCCAGCACATACTCCAGATATTCATGCCAAGAGTTCAGCTTGTCTTTGCCTAGGGTTTCTCTTGTCTGGTGAGCATTGTGATCCATTTTCTCTGATTTCTCCATTTTGAGGTATTTAGGGTGAGATAAACTTATAGGAGAACCAGAAAAGAGTAATTCCGATTGAACAAACACAATCAGCTATTGTGTCTCTGATTCTGAGCTGGACTGAGTTTTCCTTACCTTCTCTGTGCTGTCACCACTCCCCCTCACTAGAGAAAATACTCTCTTTTGGGTCCCTGCTTCTACTGAATTAATCTCATTACAGTGTCAACTCCATCTCTCTAGTTACTCTGACCAAAACTTTGGGGTCAGTTTGTCTTGCCTTTCTCCCACTCTTCCATGTCTAGCACAGCAGCAAATCCTGAGGGCTCTACTTTGAAAATATCTCTAGAATCCAACTATTCTCCCAAGCTCGACTGCAACCACATTGGTCCACACCACCATCTTTCATGACTGGATTCTGACCTCCCTTCTGTCATTGCCTCCCTGCAGTTGAGTCTCAGAAGAACAGTCAGTAGGTTCTTTGTAAAATCTAAGAGCTATCATGTCACTCCCAGGCTCAGTATCTCTAATCTCAGTGAAAGAAGTTAATGGTTTATATGACCCTAAAGGATCTCACCTCTACTTCCTCTCTGACCTCATCTGGCACCACTCTCCCCCTTACTAATTCTGCTCCATGCAGAACAGAGTGGCTAGAACCTCCTGTAGTTCCACAACCGCCACCAGGCACAAACGTACCTCCGGTCCTTTGTACTTGCTATTGTTTCTCCCTGGAATGTTCCTGCTGTGGATTCCCATCAGGCTCCTTTTCTCTCCTCTTTCAAGGTTTGGCTCAAATATTACCTTCTCAACGTGGCCCTCCCTGAATGCATAATTCAGAATTCCATCACCTCTGTTCCTGGCAGTCCTCTCTCCCCTTTGCTTTCCTCTTCTCCATAACACGTTTTACCTTCTAATAAACTACAAAAATCACTCGTTTAGTTTACTGTTTCTCTTCCTATGAGATGAAACCTACATGATAGCAGGGAGTTTTTTCTCTTTTATATCCTGCTGTATTGTGGCACTATGGTAAAGGTTGTTGTTGTTGTTGTTGTTGTTGTTATGTGCCGTCGAGTCGAACCCGACTCATAGCGACCCCTCCCTGGGTTTCCGAAGCAGTATCACTACGGAAGTAGATTGCCCCATCTTCCTTCCGAGGAGTGGCTGGTGGGTTTGAACACTGGGCTGTTAATCAAAAGGTTGGCAGTTTGAACTCACCAGCCACTCTGCAGAAGAAAGATGAAGCAGTCTGCTTCCATAAAGATTTACAACCTTGGAAACCCTATGTAGCAGTTCTGTTCTGTCCTACAGGGTTGCTGTGAATTGGAATTGATCGATGGCTGTGGGTTCGGTTTTGGTTTCGGTATCCCCAAAACCTAGTACAGTGCTGGACACAGAGTAGATGCACTATAATTTTTTGAGCAAATTAATTAAATGAAATGAAAACATAACACCTGTACAAATATCAGTGTATCGATGATCATAGCAGCATTACTCATAATAGCCAAAATCCTAAAATAATTTAAATATCCACCAACTCACCAGTGAATGGATAAAATATGGTACATGAATACAATGAAATATTATTCAGCCATAAAAAAGAATGGAATCCTTGTTCTTGCTGCAACACAGATAGACCTGAATGGCACATGCCAAGTGAAAAAGAAGTCTAATGCAAAAGATGATTCCATTTATATGAAGTGTCCAGAAAAGGCAAATCTCTACAGACAGGAAGGGAACATTAGGAACAGGGAGTGAATGCAACTGGGCGCAGGGGAATTTTGGGGGTGATGGAAATATTTTAAAACTAAATTATGATGCTGGTTGTACAATTCTATAAATTTACTAAATTAACCATTTATTTACAAGGGTTAAATTTTATGGTATATAAGTATACCTCAATAAAACTGCAAATACATATATATGTATGTATGTGTATCTATCTATCTATATATATAAAGTTAATTTTAAAAAGTTTGAAAGCCATTGTGTTAAAAAGTACTCTGTTAATGTGGTCAAAGCTACAAGCTCAAATTCTCAGGAGCCAGTGAGCTTCCTTAGTTTTATTTCCTTATTTTATTCCATTCCTCTTTTTACTACCTAACTGTGTTTGTATCTCTAATCTAGGCACTAGAGAGGCAGACATAGCTCCTGCCCTCTAGGAGTTTATAATTTAATTGAGAGATAATAATTATAGAATCATAATGCAAGGCAGAATATGAATACCACATTTAAAGACATGTCAGTAAAACCCATGGTACTGGTACAAAGACAGCTTTGCAGGAAAACACCGGATGGAGAGCAGGATTTGGACAAGGTCATGAAGAATGACTGGGGGAATAGCAGAGATGAGGATTAACAACTACCCACCTGTTTCACACGCCATTGTGATAAGAAGGGATGTTGGGCAAGAGAATATAGAAGCATCAGTGCAATGACCTCAACTGTACTAGAAAGAAAACAATGTCAAGGATGTGTCCTACCAGCAGAACACCTGGTAGAATGCAGATGTTCCACATGGTGTTAGTGAATGAATGAATGAATGAATGAAAATGCAGAATGGGTCTTGCAGCATTCCAGGTGCATTGTGGATAGGCAGGAAGAGATTGCTCTCACACACACGGCAGCTGCAAGGTCACAGACTCCTGGAGGAAGAGACAGAGCATCAGTACCCAGATGTTCCTGAGCAATATCTGCATCCCATTTCCCAGCATTCTAGAAATCTCTTTCCCAAGAGTCCACCCTTGATTCCTTTCAATGCCCTCTTATCTGGTCTTTTTTAATACTACATTTAGTCCAAGAACCATGACCAGAAATCCATTTCCTTCCACGTCAGTTATGTTATACATTGCCATATATATAATATATACAATCATACTACTCTCTAGGTCTTTTAGGTGTCTTATCTTCTGACCTGGAAAGTTTTTAGTGGGTAAGAACCCTGTTTCCTCCTCCTCCTCCTTCTTCTTTTGAATCCTTCTTACAGAGTGGGAATACACAGTGATATGTTTTATTGTCAGTAGAGGGAAATGTTTAATAAATCCTCTCTAGATGAAAAGATAAAAGGATGGATAGATGAATGTGTGAATGGTCAAACAAATGAAAAATATCAAAGAATGAATAATACATGCTTAATGACAATCTAAAGCCTTATCTGTTTACTTGATCTACATTGCAGGACAGGAAACAAGCATTAGCACTTGAGGAGTCAGAGGTGGAGTTTGGGTCCAGTAAACAGTGTCATCTGAGACAACTCCACCAACTGAAGACAAAATTGCTGGCCCTTCAGCAAGAACTGGAGTTTCGCACAGAGGAGTTACAGACTTCTTACTGTTCCCTCCTGCAGTATCAGTCCATCCTAGAGAAGCAGACTTGTGATCTGGTTCAACTTCACCATCACTGCAAACTGAAAGAAGATGAGGTATAGATAGACTAGCTATGGAAATGTCCCACATGCCCAATCACCTACAGACCAGGCCAACTAGAAAGCAAACACTGGACTTAAAGAGGAGAGCATCACACATCTGGAGCAGGTTTTATAAACTTTCCCTCTTTAATTCTTAATCTTTTTGAAGATGAGCAGAAGGAAACTGAACAGACATAATTGGGTGAGAGCTCCAGTATTAGTGTATGGTGCTTGTGTGTCCATCTTTTCTATTACCGTTGCAATTAAATGCAAAAGACTCCAGGTCTCTAAGGGTTATAGAAGAAGAATAAGTCCATTAAATCAACCATTTTTAGAAAATCTGCTTTTGATAATATATATATTTCTGGCACCTGCAGTTAATAAGATAACCAGACATTGAATCTGAGTTGATCATCAAGAGTACTAGGTCAGTCATTTTTCCAGTCTGGACTTTTACAGCATATACAGTTAGCTTACGTGTTTTCTGGACATTTGTTTCTAGTCATGGCCCAGGGGGTATTGTTTTAAATGAGAGAGTAGTGCACTGTTGTCAAATGTAAGTGAGATCATATATACATGAGAGAGTGCCTGGTAATCAGTAAAGGTGAGCTCACGCAGGTTTCTCTTCTCTGAATTGCCATTTTCCATACACTTTCCAAATGGGCTGTTATTCTGCACAGAGTCCTTAGATGAAGCAAATGGTTAACACAACTCTGCTACTAACCAAAAAGTTAGGGGTTCAAGTCCACCCACAGGCACCTGGGAGGAAAGGCCTAGAAATCTTCTTCCAATAAATCAGCCATGGAAATCCCCATGATGTACAGTCCTACTATGACACACGTGGGGAACCATGAGTCCTAATCAACTCCACAGCAACTCACAATAGCCCAGGTTGGCTTCTCCGGCAACCCACAAATCAGTAAGGAAATTAGGTGTGTGATAAGTGATTCCCTGATCTTTTTGTTACCATTTTGATTATGATTATTAAAGCAGGTGGCATCCTATTGGCCATAAGTCATGTATGTAAAGCAAAAGAAAATAAATAAATGAGAGAGTAGCATCCCTGTAGAAACCCTGGTAAATTCCAAAGACCAAAGCTACAGAACTAAAACCAGGTGAGCCATGATACTAGGAGCAATAAAACCAGAGGTTCTTCGTAAAGGGACAGGTAATCTCATTCTGCAGCTTCCCCTGGCATTTTCTTCCTTCAGCTTTAAAGATAAAATCCCAGAATGTCTTGGATGGTGCTACTGCTTAAGGACTAACTCCAGAGGCTTTATGAGGGCCTTGTAGAACACAGAAGTTTTTTAAAGAGACTCTCATGGCTAGTGACATGAGAATTTGTTGAAAATGATTGGGAAAAGGAACAGAGAAGCATGGGACAAAGCCTATGGGCATAAACTATGGTTTAACAAAGCTATTACAGGCCTGTGTTGCATATGGCTGGTTCACCACAACTTAAAGAGTCCAACCTGGTAAACCAAACCAAACCCACTGCCTTTGAGTTGATTCCAACTCATAGCAGCCCTGTAGGACAGAGTAGCACTACCACACAGAGTTTCCAAGGCTGTAAATCTTTACAGAAGTAGACTGCCTCATCTTTCTCCTGTGGAGCAGGTAGTTGGTGGATTCAAACCACCAACCTTTTAGTCAGCAACCAAATGTTTTTACCACTATGCCACCAGAGCTCCTTAGCCTGGGTAAAGTGACCCTGAATTACTTTAGATTCTGTTTGGGTGCATCTAACAGAAAACTCCAGTATAATAGTGGCTTAAATAAGATAGATGATTATTTCTATGCCATATAAAAGAAATTTGGAGGTAGGTGACCTACCTTTTATGGTGGCTTCATGCATCATCAGGTACCCAGGCTCCTATCTTCTGGCTCCACCATCATCAGCTCAAGCCTTCCATTCTCTTTGTCACGTAAGGTGTTGCTGGAGCTCCAGCCATCATATCCTTGTTCCAAATGAGCAGGATGAAGGAAGGGGTGGGGATGGAATAAAAGCACAATCCTTTTTAAAGACACTTTCCAGAAGCTCCACACAACTCTTTCATTTACAAACCACTGGTCATATGTTAGTCACATGGCCACAGCCAGTTGCTAGGAAGTCTCAGAAATGAGGTGTTTAGTTAGGTGTGTTGTTGTTGCTGTTAGGTGCCATCGAATCGTCTCCAACTCATACCGATCCTATGCACAGCAAAACGAAACACCACCCAGTCCTGCGCCAGCTCCGCAGTGCCTGCTATACTTGACCCCACCGCTGCAGCCATGTCAATCCATCTCGTTGAGGGCCTTCCCCTATTTCATAGACCCTCCACCTTACCAGGCATGATATCTTTCTCCAGGGAATGGTCCCTTCTGACAACATAACCAAAGTAGGTGAGATGAAATCTGGCCATTCTTGCTTCCAAGAAGCATTCCAGCTGCACTTCCTCCAGGACAGATTTGTTAGTTCTTTTAGCAGTCCATGGTACTTTCAGCATTCTTCGCCAGCACCACAACACAAAAGCATCAGTTCATCAGTCTTCCTTAATCGTTGTCCAGCTCTCAGATGCACATGAGATGATTGAAAATATCATGGCTTGTGTCAGGCACACCTTAGTCCTCAAGGAGACATCTTTGCTCCTCAGCACTTGAAAGAGGTCTTTTGCAGCCGACTTGCCCGGTGCTATACATCGTCTGATGTCTGACTGCACTCCTTCCACTGGCATCGATTATAGAACCAAGCCATGTGAAGTCTTTGACAACTTCAATCTTTTCTCCATTTATCGTGATGCTGCTTATAGGTCCAGTTGTGAGGATTTTTGTTTTCTTTATATTGAGATGTAATCCATACTGCAGACTGTATTTTTCAATCTTCATCAGTAAGTGCTTCAAGTCAACCTCACTTTCAGCAAGCAAAGCTGTGTCATCAGCATATCACAGGTTGTTAATGATTCTTCCTCCAATCTTGATGCCACATTCTTCTTCATATAGTCCAGCTTCTCGGACTATTTGCTCAGCATATAGATTGAACAAGTATGATGGAAGGATACAACCCTGACACACTCCCTTCTTGATTTTTAACCATGCAGAGTCCCCTTGTTCTGTTCGAACAACAGCCTCCTGGTCTGTGTACAGGTTCTTCATGAGTACAATTAAGTGTTCTGGAATTCCCATTCTTCTCAACATTATCCACAATTTGTTATGATCCACACACTCAAATGCTTTTGCATAGTCAATAAAATACAAGTAAACATCTTTTTGGTATTCTTTGTTTTGAGCCAAGATCCATCTGGTATCAGCAATTATGTCCCTCATTCCACATCCTCTTCTGAATCCAGCTTGTACCTCTGGAAGTTTTTGGTCAATATACTGCTGCAACCGTTTTTTAACTATCTTCAGGAAGATTTTACTTGCATGTGACAGTAATGACATTGTTCGATAATTTCCACATTTTGTGGGATCACCTTCCCTTTGGAATGGGTACAAATATGGATCTCTTCCAGTCAGTTGTCCAGGTAGCTGTCTTCCAAATCTCTTGGCACAACTGAGTGAGTGCCTCTAGGGGGGCATCTGTTTGTTGAAACATCTCAACGGGTATTCTGTAAATTCCTGGAGCCTTGTTCTTCAGCAATTCCTTCAGTGCAGCTTCGAAAACCTTATGAATTGTTAGGTGTATCACTTCCTAAATAAAATCTAGGCTATTAGTAAGGAGAAGAGGAAGAACTAATATAAGATTCAGCCAGTAACCAGTCACTGCCACAGATCCCAACCTATGAAAGTTTAGGAGACTGTAGAAAAGCATTGGAAACTTATTCTAGGCATTCTCTCAAATTCTCCCAAAGTGAACTCTTAGCTACACAGAAGCATCACACTTCTAAGGCTTTATTCTCCCAAAAGCAGACCTGAAATAAAGATATGAATGGAAGCAGTTAATTCAGGAAGTGATCTCAGGACATGCAGTGTGGAAGTAGGGAAGTCAGACAGGGAAGGGCAGGAAGTCCATAAAGGAATCACTATTGAGCAGGTTACCACTGTGGACAACTGGGCCTCAGTCCCACTAAGGAACTCTTGGAGATAGTGTGGAACACACCTCAGAGCGATCCCAGCCAACCCCCTGAGTCACTGGTTGAGGCTGCTGCTGGGTGAACAAACTCCCCAGCATTCCTGCCCGGCACTATCTTACCCCTCTGACTGAGTGTTCTCCTGAGGCCAGAAAATTCAGGCAAAGATGCAAAGGTGCTTGCAGCTTGAGTGAGTTCTGTGTGCAGAGAGTTTATGAGCAGGCCACCGGTAGCTTCTGTATAAACACCTGAATATAAAATATGCCTCTCCCTCTTCTCCTTATTAATAAACATCTCAGATGAAAAGATTCTTTCCTAAGAAGAAACTCAAATGGTTGGCAGCACATATAATTAGCTTCAACCAATAGAACTTGTCTTAGCAAAATTCTGGACTATTTGAACCAAAGTGAAGACTTCTTGATGACTCTCCCTTGCCTTAATACCTGTAGAAGCTATAATTCAAGTCATACATTCTGTCACACTTTATACAGTTGTTGCTTATTTTTTTTTATATTATCTCCCCAAGATTTGAGACGTGGCAAAGTCTGTGAGGGGAAAAAATGCTGTCTGAGATGTCTCTTTCCCCTCAGCACCCTGTACATTGTTCATATTTAAAAGAGGAATTTCATTTGATTGCATTATATGACTCAACTAAATAATATTCAATAAATATTTGTCAGTTGGTTGACTAATAAAGTGATTACAAAGAAAAGGAATCTAAATAAGGATCATACAAATCCCAGATGAATTTTGTGTCATATTCCCCCACTATCTGTTGGTATTTTTGCTGACATGGATGTGTGTGCACGGTGCTCTGCATTTTATAAATCAGACCTGTAGAGAAAATGGTCAGACTTCGTCTCACCTACTTGGTCATGTTGTCAGAAGGGACCAGTCCCTGGAGAAGGATGTCATGCTTGGTAAAGTAGAGGGTCAGCAAAAAAGGGGAAGACCCTCAATGAAATGGATTGACACAACAATGGACTCAAACACAGCAAGGATTGTGAGGCTAGCACAAGACTGGGAAGTGTTTTGTTCTTTTGTACACAGGGTTGCTATGAGTTGAAGGTGACTTGATGGCACCTAACAACAACAGAGGAAGAAACAATACTAGTTTTGCAAGCCCTTAAAAAAAACAATGAAGCTATACAAATTCATTCCTATTAAACAACTAACAAGATTTTATTGAGTTCCTACCCTATGCCAAATAGATCAGGAAATCAAGGAGTTTACCATCTAAAGAGAACTATCTTTTTATTTCTAACCATTAACATTCTGATATTGCGTATTGTAGCTTTTAGATCTGTGCTGGACATTCTGTTCACTTGGGACCCTAGTTTAAATATAAGACTCTTGTGCATGAGGTCTTACAGCCATATCCTTTCCTCCCTGGATGCTTCTATGGGTTGAGTATGGTTTTATTCCTACACCAACAGGTGATTCTCTATGAGGAGGAAATGGGAAGTCATAATGAGAACACAGAGAAGCTGCATATGGCACAGGAGCAACTTGCTTTGGCTGGGGACAAGATTGTCTCCCTAGAAAGGAGCTTAAACCTCTACAGAGATAAATACCAGGCCTCCCTGAGCAACATCGAGTTACTAGAGTGCCAAGTGAAGATGCTGGAGGGGGAGCTCAATGGAATCGTTGGTCAGGTAGGGCTTAAACCAGGACAGGAGCTACCGCAAGTGGATATGCTTCCAAGTGGTCCCCTGTAAGTCCCAGCCTCCTCTACCAGAAACCAAACTGTCAAGCAGATGTCAGTTTCTTGAATTTTGTAGCCCTCAGCTTTTGGCCTTCTTGCTTTGACATCTCCTTTAAGATGCCCCTTACCAATCTTGAGGTTCCTTAACTAACATGGGGAACAAAGCACTTCAGGTTAGGGAGAAAAAGAATTACCAAATGAGCTATCAAAACTTCCATGTCTCATAGTGGTTGGGGGGATGGAGAGGAATAAGTGAGGATGTCAGTAGATCACAGGACTCATGCAAACCATGACCTCAGGATCAAACAGGAGGAGAAAGCCTAGACGTGGGAAAGAAAAACCAAAGCACCTGAATTTGTTTCTTTCTTTCTTTTAATGGCTTATTATTATCATTATTACTCAAGCAATGCACTGATAGAAGTTCTATAGACAGAAGTTTGGAAATTAAAATGTGAGAGTCCACTTTCAGCCTCCTTCACTCTACTCCCCTCCCCCTAGGTAATCACTTAAACAATTGTCTTGAGACTCTTCCTGGGCCTTCTGCTGTGCAGTTATATACACAAATGGTTAGGGTTTTCTTTTTTCCATAAAGGGATCATATACATGTGGGTTTTAGACTCAGTGGTTTTAGGTTACTTTTCATTAAGCCTCTCAACACTTAACTGACCCTTTTAATTTGAATACTTACCTATATATATATATATATATATATATATATATATGAAACTCATTGCCGTCTAGTCGGATCTGACTCCTCACCTTGGGTTTCTGAGGCAGTATCATTACGGAAGTAGATTGCCCAACCTTCCTTCCAGGGAGCAAGCAGCTGGTGGGTTTGAACTGCCAGGCTTCTGGTTAGCAGTCAAATGCCTTAGGCACTATGCTACCAGAACTCCCTCTTCTATATGTAGTATACATAAAAATATATTTACACACATAATTTTCTTTTCTGTAATAATATAACACTATATTTTAGATATATAACATTATTTATGGTCAATTTTAGACTTCTGATTGCCTTTCTACAGCATGCCCATGGGCAGTTTTCATGCTCAGTGAACATGAAAGCTAATTCTAACTTCTCCTGAAAAAGAGCAGTTAAGGAGGCAAGTTTATTGGGGAAAGGAACTACCATCCAAACTAGAATGTGAATGAATGAACTTTTTGCTCTTGTTTGACTGTATCAGTTTGCCCCATTAGTCAATCAGATCAATGAATAAGAGGATACTAATCTTCATGCATGATTTCAGATGATCCGAGGAAAGATTTTTTTTAAATAAATAAATAAAACTACGTTTTGAGGAACATAGGCATCCCCATACATTATTGATGAGGGTGTCATTTGGTACATTATTGGTACAGTCACTTGGAAGGGCGATTTTGCAATATTTATCAGAATTTTAAATATAATATCATTTGTTCTAGCAGTTCTACTTCTATGAATTTAATTTACACATACACCAGAAGATGTACTCAAAGATTTATGTATAAAAATATTTATTTCACCATTTTAGCAAAAACCTATAACTAACCTACATCAGTTGGGAACTGGACAAATACATTTAAAAGCAAATAAAAAGAGCAAAATAGAAGCACATACTATCAGTACTAGCATGGATAGATCTCTATAACATCTTGTTGAGTGAAAAAAAAAAATCAAGTTTTATGCTTTCAAAAGAGAATTTAACATTATATGTATTCTACAGATACATGTCTATGTATGTAAGTGGCCAGATCAAGTTCTAGAAGGATGTGCACAAATTATCATCTGGGGAACAGAGTAGGGACTGAGATTTGGAGGTGTAGTTGAAGAGAAATTTAGATGTACCTGTAATGTTACCATTTTTATAAAGATAAGATGTTGTTGTTGTTGTTACATGCCGTCGAGTTGGCCCCAACTCATAGCGACCCCTCCTTGGGTTTCCAAGGCAGTATCACTATGGAAGTAGGATTGTCCAACCTTCCTTCCAAGGAGTGGCTGGTGGGTTTGAACCGCCAGCCTTCTGGTTAGCAGTCAAGTGCCTTAGGCACTATGCTACCAGAGCTCCTAAAGATAAGATATATATACATGTACTATTTGTGTAATCTGAAATTAATTTTTTTAAAAAATTAGTAAGACAGATTTACAAGTAATAGTATGGAAAAATATCTAAAACAAATTGTCCAGTGAAAACACAATATTTAAAGTGGTAGGGAGAAGACTTTCATTTGTGTAGGAAAAGAGGTAAAGGATTATATACATGTATATACGTAAAATATCCCAGGAAGGGTAGCCAAAAAATTGGTAACATGGACTGTCTTGCAGGAAGGGACCTGAGTCACAGCAGGTCGGAGGGTTAAGATGGAAGAAAACTAACTTTTGTGAACTGTTTGAACTTCTTATCGTATGTTAACTTTTTTTCTTTTTTTAAAGGGAACTATGATTCATAAATATGAATGTATAGTTTTAGAATATAGGTCTAGAGATTTTCCATGCTCGAGGTATTCTTATGTCAGGTCAAATTACAGGCAAAAGCAACCTATTATTTTTACATATCCCAGGAGCCTGAGAACAAGGGTGATCATCCAAAGGTGCGTATATGTTCTACACCCTGCGTGATTCAAGACCATCAGGAGACCCTGAAACGACTATCTGAAGTCTGGCAAAAGGTCTACGAACAGGATGATCTGATACAGGAACTTCGAAATAAGCTGGCCTGCAGTAATGCCTTGGTAAGCACTGTCTTCCAGAACATTTTTCTGAGAGACCCAAAATAAAACCATGAGGAAAGGAAGGAGGGGAAAAGAGTCACTTAACTTTCTCTCTTTCATCAAGACTCCTCGAGTGTCTTATGTATCTTATTTTTAAAAACTCTGATTATAATACGGAAGTATATGCTGTCAATAATACCCTGAGGGAAGGGAGAATAAGTGGAGAGGAGATTCTCACTTCTTACTTTAGATGCTTGGATTTTGTTTGAATTATCTTCAACAAACAACTAAAATTTCATGTTTTTTAATTAAAAAAAAAAAAAGACTGCACACACATTCATCCACTCCATAAGAAACTTCCTTCTTTAATTCTTGAATCTTGAATCCTGTCCCTGGATAATTAGGTCCATCATCCCATCACAGCTCCAGAGAACCTTCTCCTGCCCCACAAATGGGGCCACACAGAGTTCAGGAGAGAGTCCAAAACGTGGCTACTGACAACTCCGGACAAATCATTCTCATGTCTCAGTGAACCTTGATAGAACTTTGGGAACGTAATTCCTTCTGCCTACCAACCCCACGGGAAGTGTGTGATGAATTACGTAATGCGACGACAAACGCTAAGCTTTAAAGAGGAATGCCCTGCAGAAACAGTAGTAGTAATAAGCACGTTACGTTGGTAATTCAGCATAACTGACCTGTGTTCATTTCCAGGTTTTGGAGCGTGAAGAGTCTTTGATAAAATTACAAGCAGACTTTGTTTCCTTCAAAGCCACCCACAGACATCCTCCTTGCTCTTCAGGAGACTGTGAAGACATAAAAAAGGTGGCCAACTTTTGCTTTTTTGTGCCTAGTGGTGTCAGGCAGAGCTGGATCTTACTTTGGGTTTTCCTACTTACAATTTGTGTGACTTTGGCTGGCACCATCACATTGTATGTTGTGTATAATGTATTATAAGTCCCAAACAGAAGGAGCCCTGGTGGTACTCAGCTGCTAACAAAACGTTTGACAGTTTGAACCCACCGAGAGGCCTGCAATTCAAACCTACCAGCCACTCTGCAGGAGAAAGATGTGGCAGTCTGCTTCCATAAAAATTTACAGCCTTGGAAACCCTATGGGGAAATTCTACTCTGCCCTATAAATTTGGAATCAACTCAACAGCAATGGGTTTGGGGTTTTTTTTTTTTTTTTTTTTTAAGCTCCAAACAGTGTGTCTACCAGCATTAGATTTTAGGATTGAATGTAAGAAATGCATGTGTCTCTTAACCCACTTCCAAGAGTACACTTAAACAAGGCAGAAACTCCTGTTGACTTGCTAGATTCAAAAGGACCATCCAGCCTTCTCGTTTGGGGTTGGACTTGAAAAGTAGAAAATTTATGAAAGAGTATAGAATTTAATTCCCCCTCTTTTTTAAAAAAGAAACCTATGTTTGCAAAATCCAAAGCAATCTCTAACACTGATTTAATCATAAATAAGCATTTAGACCACATAAAGAAATGGTAAGTTTCGATGAACCAGTAGTCAAATCTGAATCTAGGTCAGGTTCCACCATAGGTGAGGTCCTGCCTATAATTTGAGATACAAGGCAAAAATCAACTACATAAGGTCCTGTTTTGGGCAGATGATGGCATGCCTTCATGTCTGAGGTGTGATACTGAAATATGACCAAAGGGGTATGGCAGAGGGACCAAACAAGACATATAAGCTCCCCAGGGGTTCTTCTAATGGAAGAAAGGCAGAGACTCTTCCCTTTCCAGGACTTCTTGGTCCCAGACAGTCTGGATGAATGAAATTTGGACCTGTGTCAATACTTATTTTAAAGGTCAGGTCCACATCCCAACCTACAGCAAGATCTCATAACATTCAATCTTAAAAAATTATATAGACCCATCCAAGAACCAGAATATACCTTCCCCAGACATTTTATATTTGCTATCCAAAGCCTTCACATTGCCTGAATGTTCTCTTAGACATGAGCCTACGCATGTCCAGTTTACTCCAGCAATCTTCTCCTCCCAAGTTGGCACAGCACAGCACGAGTCTTTGATTCCCTGTAGAGTTCGCACTGGGTCTCTCATGATTGCTCTGTATTTATCCAGCTGTCATCTCCTGTCTTCATGTCGCAGCCCTCTCTCATGTCAACTCTGAAATTACGAAAATAACACTCTCCAGCATCCCCTGATGCACAGGCAACTAACTGCTCCTCCTTATCCACATGTTTCTGCCTTCTCTTGGTTAAAACCCATTCCCCTCTCATTTGGTGCAGAAACCCAAGTTCTTGCCAAGGGACTACAAACCCTCTGTGATCTGACTACCAACTACCTCCCTTAGCTTTTCTCCTCCTCTGCCATGGAAGAAAAGGCTTGGTGATCTCCTTCTACTAAGACTGAAACCAAGAAAACCCTATGAAGTCATTCTGCTCTTTAACACATGGGGTCACCATGAGTCTGAACTGACTCCATAGCAGCTAACAACATTCCTTCCTTTCCCGGCACCTGGCAACCACTAATCAACTTTCTGTCTCTCTGGATTTGCCTCTTCTGGACATTGGGCATTTTAGAAAGCAGTCTTCCCCCATGTCATCATCCTGCCCTGCTCTTCTTTCATCTGCCAGATGCTAAAGCACCTGCAGGAACAGAAAGCTAGCCAGTGCCTGCACGTGGAGGAGTACCAGAACCTTGTGAAGGAACTGAAGATCGAGCTAGAAGAGGTGTCTGAACAGAAGAAGAACGTTATGAAGGGTAAGCCACAGGCGGGAGGCTCAGATGGAGGGGAAGCTGAGCCCTCTTCTGAGCTGGAGTTCAGAGCCAGGCAGTGCTGTCTCATCTCACTGTAGACATGATGAAGCTGGAGCTGGAACTGCACACAATTCGAGAGGAGATGTCTGCCCAGATAGAGAGGAAGGATAAGGAGGCCTCCTGCCTGCACTGGCGGCTACAGGAAATGGAGTGGCGGTTCTGTGAGATCCAAAAGTCTGCTTCAGAGAAAGACAAGGTGAGGCAAGGAACAGTCTGGTGGAAGCCTGCAAAGGCACATGTGAGGCCTGGGGAAGAGCCCACTCTGCAGTCTCCAGCCACTGTTACTGCTTTGGGAGCATCAGCCAATGTCCATGAGATGTGGCTCTTGGGCCCATAGACAATTTGACACTTTACAAAAGGATTCTTCCCCAGCCTTGCAACGTATCGAGAAAGTTTAGGGCACATTTCCTTGCATTGTTCCCTTATACTTTTATTCTTTTCACCACACTGGGGGGGAACTAGTGTAAAATAATGTAGTAGTTTCTTAGCCGTACTAAAAATTTCAGTTTTTTAAATTACAGATATCTTATGACTATGCCAGTCAGGTAGTTTGGAGATACTGATGGAGTGATGTAGCTGTTACCTGACAAATACTAGGTTTTAGGGTGGTGCAAACAGTTAGACACTCAACTGCAAAACCACCCAGAGGCTCCTCAGGCAGGAGGCCTGGTGATTGACTTCCCAAAACCCAGCCATTTAAAGCCTGTGGAGCACAGTTCTGCTCAGACGTAACACACATGGGGTGGCCATGAGTCAAATCAACTCACATGGCAGCTGGTTTTATGTGCCCCAGAAGTTCTGTAGATCCCAACATTAATCAAGTTCCTGGAAAAGACTAGAAATGGAACCAAGAACAGAAAGGCTGTGAAAGCAATGCAAGCTTTTGTGGTCAGTACAACTCCAGCTCTGAACTTTATCAGAGCTGTATAAAATAATCTAACTGACTGACTAGCTAGTCATTAAAACTAGCTTCAAGGTAGGAAGGAGATCCACCAGTCAAATTAGAGGCATTAGGAGAAATGACGACACGAAGCGAGGAGTCTGAGTAAACAGTGGCAAGTCATTCATATATTCACTCAACAAGTATTTTCTGAGCACCTATGATGTGCCAACCACTATTCCAGGCACTAAGAATGTAACAAAACATACAAGATCCCTCCTCTCCTAGAGCTTACAACCCAGTGAGGGGAGACAGACAATAAACGAATCAACAAAATTCATGTATAATATAATGTCAGGTACTGACAAATTCCTAAAAAGAAAAATAACTCAGAGTAAGGGGATGGGGTAGCTGTTTTATACAGAGTGATCGGGGAAAGCCTCTCAGATAAGGTGACATTTGGACATAGATTTTAATGAAGTTAGGGAGCCACCTAGTCAAATTTCTTGAGAAAGAATATTTCAGACAGAGGGAATAGCAAGTGCAAAAGCCCTACACCCTAAGCCTATATACAGTGTTCCAGGAGGCCAATGTGGCTAGCAGGGTGGAGTGCATGGCAGGAGGTGAGTCAGACGGGTAGCCAAGGACCAGATTATGAGCACTCCGGGAGGTTGCTGTAAAACTTTGGCTTTTTTCTGCATGAGATAGAAGCCACTGGAGGGTTCTGAGCAGAGGAGTGAGAAGATCTGATTTTTAAAGGGCCCCTCTAGATGGTCTGATGAGGATGGCCTAGAAGAAAGCAGGGGTGGAGGCAAGGAGCACAGTTAGGAGACTCTTGCAATGTCCAGGAGAGACATGATGGTGGCTTGTACAAGGTTGCCTTGGACAATGGCCCAAGACAATCTCTAACTAACTTCACCATGCCGCCACTCAGGTCTTTATCAGTATGAACACTTACTCCTCTCAGGCCCTCCAGGAGAAAGATGAAAGACTGAACAAGCTAGAGAAGGAACTAGCACAGGCTCGGGATGCCCTCAAAAACAAGGAGATGGAGCTCCAGAAGCAGCAAGTAATGGCAACAGAACCCAAAGTGGATGGTAATCAGGACAAGTCTGCTCAGTTCCAGAAGCTGAAGGACAGTCTTGAAGAGGCCAGAAAGCAGCAGAAGCTAATTGGTGAGGCTAACAGCAAGCAGCTGTCCCATCACCAGACTTCTATCTCATTGAGTTAGCTAACTCCCCATCTGTCTAAATTGCCACTTGCCCCCTTTCCCCAATTTCTCACTCCAAACCTTCTCTACTCTCCTATCTCCCAGAGGTTCCTACCACTTTCTTGAACTTCTTCACTCCCGTTCAACCGTACCTCCTCTCTAAAGCCCCCATCACATAGCAGGCGCAGTGTTTGGGAAAATCACCTCCTGGACTCACACACCCCACGGGAAGAATAGGGCTCTGTCCTTTGCTTCTTTGCACTACAGTCCTTCCTCACACAGTTTGCCCTGTTCTCCTCTGGCTTGTCGTTGCCTCTCTCTCCCCTTGGCCTCTGAGCACATTCTCTTTAGAGCTTGCGCTGCAGGTTGTGTCCTTGCCTCTCTGCTGAAACTGCTTTCTCACAGGTTACCAATAACATCTGGCCTTGGGTATGGAATTTCTTTTTTGGGGTGATGAAAATGTTCTAGAATTAGATAGGGGTGATGATTGCTTAACTTTGTGAATATACAATGAGACACACAGGAGACATGAAGCAATTTCTACCAGTTTGTTTAATTTGGGACAAGAAGGAGTCTGTGGCTGGCGGGTAGTTGAAGAAAAATGATTTAATAGCACTCCTTAGGAGTGGATAAGGAGCTCTGGTGGTATAGTGGTTAAGGAATTTGGCTTCTAACCAAAAGGTCAGTGGTTCAAATCCACCAGCTGCTCCATGGAAGAAAGATGAGGCTCAGAAACCCAATGGGGGTCACTATGAGTCAAAACTGACTCGATGGCCGTGAGTGAGTGAGGAATGATAATGAAATGGATAGAAATAACGTTAGACTGGGAATTGCAGTAGGTCAAAAAATGAAAGAACAGTCTTTTGAGCCAGGCTTATTTGAGAATCTGACGTATGAGAGCTTCACATATGCTCCCTTCTCACATGCATATGGCCCAGCTCGTCTTCTGTCTCCGCAGCTCAGCAAGCAACCCAATATAAAGAACAGGCCTTTCTAGCTGAGAGCAAGCTGGAGGAGTCCCAGAGGAAGCTTCAAAGCTCCATTTCCCTGGACAGGCAGAAGGAAGATACTATCCAAGAACTACAGAACAGCCTTCAGAAGCAGCAGAGGGAACTCTTGATGGCTAAAGAACAACTAGCATCCAATAGGTACCAGGGGCTCACACCTAGAGAGAGGCTGTCCCTTGTGAGCCACCCCAGGCCACATGTGGGCAGGGGCCCAGAAGTGAAATAGCAAGGACTCCCCATGGGGTCATCTTCACAGTCCCTCAACACAGGCACTAAAGTCCATGCTCCTGTTGCTTTGGGTTTGTCATTTTGTTTTAGGGAGCAAGTAGATGAGCTGACATCAGAACTCTGTAAGGCCAAGAAGTTGTTTGAAATTTCAAATAAGGAAAATAATCAGCTTAAGAAGACAGTGGAGGAGCTAGAAATGAAGCTAAGAACCACCTTAGAGAATATGAAACAGATTCAGCACCAGGTATGTACGGCCAGTAGGCAACTGGCCCAAACATGACCTCTGCATAAGATTTAAATATGTTGTTGTTATGTGCCATCGAGTCAGACCTGATTCATAGCGACCCCTCCTTGGGTTTCTGAGGCGGTATCACTACAGAAGTAGATTGCCCCACCTTCCTTCCGAGGAGTAGCTGGTGGGTTTGAACCACCAGCCTTCTGGTTAGCAATCAAGTGCCTTAGGCACTACGCTACCAGAGCTCCTAGAATGAAATATTTTAGACTTCATTCAGGAGCTCTGAGTCAGTCCGACTCGACGGCACATAACAACAACAATAGGCTTTATTCAGGTTGATGTCACTGCCAGTCCTCTGCAGACTAATTGTCCAGAATTTGTGTTAGAATGCTAAGTCTGCCATTAGCATCAGTTGTCACAACTAATAATAGGCATTTCCAAGGGTTAAGCTTAGAAGTAGTCAAAGGACAATGTTGTTCTTTCTAAGACTTAAAAGCTATCCTTGTCAGTCGATTTAAAGTCTTTGATGTCTGAATTATTCTTTTTGTTCTTCTCTAAGTTTTTTTTTTTTTTAACTTTATTCAAAGAGGATTTTATATGGAAAGATTTGGTGGGTAAATGGGAGAGAAGGCTGATGCCATGGGAATGGGATATATAAATAAATTGGCTCACATACTTTGGACGTATTACCAAGAGGGTCCAGTCCCTGGAGAAGGATTTCATTCCTGGTAAAGCAGAGGGTCAGTGAAAGAGAGAAAGACCCTTAACAAGATGAACTGACCCAACGGTTACAATGTGGGCTCAAACACAGCAATAACTGTAAGGCAGGCGCCGGACTGGACGGCATTTTGTTCTGTTGTACCCTGGGTTGCTGTGAGTTGGAATGGACTCCACAGCACCTAACAACAGCAAAAACATTTAACTATGGACTTGTCCTCATATTTACTTCAGCCATTCCTTGTGTACATTTACATTTACATTTTTCCCAAATATAATCCAATGTAAGGCTATCTTTTAGCCCGGTCTTCATTTTCTCAGAACAAAGAGCAAGCCTCCACCAAAGACAACCTAGAAGAGGAGCTTCAGGAGGTAAAAAGGTTATTGGAAGAGAAACGGGGGCAGCTGAAAAAGAGCAAAGAACAGGAGAAAATGCTGGAGGAAGAACTTGAGTCATTACGACAAGAAGAAAGAAGGAAAGAAAAGATGGTGAGTAGGAGGATCTGGCTCAAGGTCATGAACCCAGGGCAGAACATGAACCTAGCCAGCTCACATGGGATGCAGAGGCTTCGGGTGCTCAGACCACAGAAGAGAAAGGAGGGCATTTGTGGGAAAACATAAGGGGTTAGTGAGGAGGAGAGAGAAGGCCTAGTGTTCTGCAGGGTGGAAGGTGGAGCAGTGAGTGAGGGCAGTGGAGCCTGTGGTTAACACCTCTTTTCTGGGCTTTGTTCTTTAATGGGGGAGCAGTCTAAGGAGAACTTGAGGAAGTTGGAGGAGAAAAATGAAAATCTCCAAGCAGAGTTGTTGCATTATTCTACGCAACTAGATATTTCTATCAGCAAGCACAGCAGCACGCAGCAGACGGTCCAAGAGCTGAATAAAGAGGTGAGTAGACATGAATGCTAGGGGATGAGAAACTTGAACCCTGTGACCCTTGTTCTAAACCTGCATCTATCTCTCCTCTACCACAGAAATACAACTCACTGCCCAGCCAGCTATGCCTCCTGGGGCACCTGCAACTCTCAGTTGCTGAACCAAAAATGTATTGCTTGCACATGTTTCAAAGACACCAAGAAGGTTTTGTAGTGCAGCTGGGAAATGATCTGGGCTTTGGGATCAACCCCAAAGGTTGACTGGGATCAACCTTCCAATGGATGTTGCATGTTAGAGTTGAATGACTCAGTTGTTTAAGGCAATTTGCTAGGGAATATTTCCAAAACTAGCTCTAAAGCACAAAAAGGGGATTGAGCGAGGGAGAGATGGTTATTTTTCATTACACAAGTAGGGATGACAGAGAGAAAAAATGGCATCTGCCTATGCTAGACACTGTGCTTAAACTCAGTTCTCATTTGTTGACTGTCTACATAAGTCCTTTACATGCCCACCATCTGCTTCACTCCCAACAAGATATGCATTACTGTGACAACCTCCATTTACAGATGAAAAAATGGCTGAGGCCCAAAGTCTCTAATTAGTAAGTCATGGGATGAACCAGTATTTGAACCTGGATCATTTGGCTGTAACCCTTGTCTTCTTTCCCTTCATCATGAAAGAAATACTTCCCCAGCTGAATACACGCTGTTTTTCTGGGCAAGAAACAAATATGGCAGCTAGGTAAACGGTCTCTTGATTACAAGGCACCTCTGATTCCTTTTTAATATTAAAAAAATAAAAAAGATCCCAACAGTATGACTATACTAAGGAGCCCTAGGGGCGTAAGAGTTACACGCTTGGCTGCTAACAGAAAGGTCGGCAGTTCAAACCCACCAGCAGGTCTGTGAGAGACAAGTCCTGGCAATCTGCTTCCATAAAGATTACAGCCTAGGAAGCCCTAGGGGCAACTCTACTCTGTCACATAAGGTCAGTATGAGTCTAAATCGACTCAGCTACACACTAAAACAACATACTAAGCATAAGACCAAGGTAAGGCCAGTACAGCCCAATAGAACTTTCTGTGATTATGGAAAGTTGTATACTTGAACTTACCAATAGAGTAACCACTAGTCACATGTGGCTTTTGAGTGCTTGGAATATGGCTTAGTATAACTAAGGAACTCAATGTTTCATTTTAATTGATATTAACTAATTTTCATTTTCTTTAAGTGTAAATAACCACATGTGGCTAACGGGTAACATATCAGATGCACAGGTCTAAGGAACTGCTGTTTCTGGAGTTTTCTCCTCCAGAAATAGAACTCTCTGCATTAGTGTGACCCAGAGTTGAGGTCTGAGTCCCTCAGATCCTCCCTGAATATAGTCTTCTGAAGGAAGGTTGGTCGATCTACTTCCATAGCGATACTGCCTCGGAAACCCAAGGAGGGGTCGCTATGAGTCGGCTCTGACTCGACGGAAGTTGAGTTTGGTTTTTTTGTTTTGGCTCAAGTATTTATTAGTGCCTAAGGCACTTGACTGCTAACCAGAAGGACAGCGGTTCAAACCCACCAGCCACTCCTCGGAAGGAAGATGGGGCAATCTACTTCTGTAGTGATACTGCCTCGGAAACCCAAGGAGGGGTCGCTATGAGTAGGGTCCGACTCAATGGCACATAACAACATCAACAACGTCTCATTAGCCAAAAGAAAGATAGCCATGTAAAAGTGAACCTAAAAGTATTCGTTTCAGAATTCTGTTGCTAGAATTTCCTCAAAGGGGTGGGAAAGATTACTGGTAAGTTTTTACATTTTTAAACTGTAACTCTGACTAATGGGTGGAAATGCTCTGGGAGGGAGGGGGAGGGGTAGGAGTGAAGAGACCAGTTAAGAGGCCACTACAGTCCAGGCTAGAGTGGTAGCAGGGAAGACAGAAGTGAGCAAACTCAGGAAAGATTTTAGCAGCAGAACTGACGAGAATAGTTGATGGAGTGGGTATGAGAGAAAGAGGAATCAAGAATGGCTTAGTAGAATTCACCTGTAAAATCATCTAGGCCTGATGCTGTTGGCGTAGGTCTTTTATTAGAACTGTTATTAGACTCCCGATTCCATGGTTTTTATGGGTGTCTATATATTTTTAAGTATATTTTTCTGTAAGCTAAATGAGAACAAATTTAGAGAAATTTCAAATAAAGCATCCATGTTTGCTTCTAACGTTATAATTTTTTTCACCACCTCTTTTTAATATCCTACCTCCACAGTGACATTTCTCAGCTCAACCTCCACTTATCAAGAACTTAGTGAATTCCAGGCTCTTCAGTGGCTCCCTAGTTGACTCCATATTTTTCAGAAATCTCCTGAAAACATGCAGTTCTATTCCTAGAAGACCAAATTATATCATCCTTAGGAACAGTTTCACCCCAAGGCCATGGAAAATGTAGGGTCAAAAGTCCAATCTGACATTTTTCATTGTACTAATTCTTAGTGTCAAAGAGACTCAAAGTTCTGTCTAAAAAAAGTAATGAACTTCAAGCACTGAGACGTTACTGGGGAAAAGCAATAAAAACCCCCAAAACGTGTTGGCGTGTATGGCCACATGAGAATGCAGGTGTGCTTGAATACCAAGGACCAGAAGGCAAACAGGTGATCTAAGGTTTCCCTCCTGCTTCCAGACTTTAAAGATCTCTGTCCTGTACTGAAGTGTATAACAAGATAACTAATTATCAGCAAATTTATGATAATAGCTCAGAGTGACATAGTGACTTACACCTTACAAGGCCCTTTTACATACATAATCTCATTGAATCATTACAGGAACACTGTGAAGCAGCTGAAATTATCCCAACCTACAAATGAGGAAACTGAGGCCCAGAGAAATTAAGTAAATGACAAAACTAGGCTCTCGACCCAGATATCTGATTCCAGATCTCAGTTCCATTTTAACTATACCATTATTCCTCATTATTAAGTGTAAGACACAGACTTAAAGTTTTTAAATACACTCAAATTTTAAAAACATGTCTTTAATTCAAAGCTAATATATTCATTTCATCCCTAACTCCAGACACTGTCCAGTGCAATGTTTGATTAAGTCTCAAAAAGTCATAAGAATTCATTGAGCACCTATTATGTGCCATGCCCTGGGTTCTAGGTGGTAGAAATACAGCAATGAACAAAACACACATGGTCCCTGCTTTCATTATGCATCAAGTCTAGCGAGTTCTATCAGGGCCTAAGTGAAGTATAAAACACAACTGAAGTGTTGTATCATGTCTCCTAACCTAGAATTGGATCCCGGATCTTGATGAAATGCTGCAAAGTCCAGGACTCTTTGTACTTGGGCATGGGGGGGAGGGTGCTACCTAGAAGCAGAAAGGTGGGAGAGGAGCACAGAAGCACTTAGAAAGGACAGCTCTCCTTTTGACAATGAACAGTAAGGGGAAGATGCAGGGGCTGTAACTGCAGCAGATGAATGCAAAGATAACAAAGCCCAGGTCCTGTCCATTTCCTGTAGACACCAAGTTGCCTCCGTGACAGTGATGTTCCCTCCCTAAAGGTATCTCAGCAGAAGGAGACCATAACGACCCTGCAGGCCCAGCTGGACAAGGCTAAGGAGAAAGAGAAGCATTGTATCCAGACCATGGTCAGCAAGGCGGCCTATGACGAGTTGTCCCTGAAGGCAGCTACCTGCCAAGAGGACCTGACTCAAGCCCTGCAAAAGGTGAGGCCACACCCTGGGCTGCTCTGCAGAGAAATGGCAGCGTTGTGCCGGAGGGCAGGAAGAGCATCCTGCCCAACTGGCTGTCACCAGGGCTATCGCAAACCTACGAACTCTTGCGTGAAGTGGGCATTTCAGCCCAGAGAAGGCATGTTTCCTCTTCATGACCCTTTGAGGTGGGAGGGGGAAAATGGAGGCCAAATCTAACAAGAGCTTCTGCCCATGGGTAATCTGGGCAAAATTTTCCCAAAGCCTGGATTGTGAGAGAAATTCATGCCCATCCTTGGGTTGTTGTTGTTGTTGTTGTTATGTGCCGTCGAGTCGGCCCCGACTCATAGCGACCCCTCCTTGGGTTTCCGAGGCAGTATCACCACGGAAGTAGGATTGCCCAACCTTCCTTGGGTTAGCCTGGCTAATTAATCTGCAGGACTGGAAAGAGATGAAGTATGTGTGTCTGTGGGTGGGGAGGCAGTGATGTGGTGCAGGGTTGTGTATGGAACACGCCAGCACTGTCACTCCCCACCCCTTCTGGGACACTGCGTAATGGGACTGTCTGCACCACCCTGGGCAGAGGACTGGGTGGGGCTGGATGTGTCTCCATTAAGGACTCAAAGGGCTCTGCTAGCCACGCTCATCCCCTTTGTCTTTACCGGAAGCTCAACCAAGCTGCCGCAGAGACAAAGGATCTGCACCGAAGCCTGATGCAGACTCAAGAGAGGAAAACTCAGCTGGAAGATGAAATTGCCGTTTATGAGGAGAGGATGAAAAAGCTCAATGTGGAATTGAAAAAACTCCAGGGCTTCCACCAGCAGAGTGAGCTAGAGGTGAGGACCCTTCCTCTCCAGTCCACAAGGCTGCCTCCCGCACCCCCTGTTCACCACAAAGCCATTCCCTCTGGCTGGCTGATGGGCTGTCTTCACCCTGTGATGTGCCTTGGGTGAGGGTAGTGAAGATCACAGGGTAGGGGTGCCCTCTGCTGGTTACTAGAAATAAAACATCCCCTAAAAGCTCTGGTAGCATAGTGCCTAAGGCACTTGACTGCTAACCAGAAGGCTGGCGGTTCAAACCCACCAGCCACTCCTCGGAAGGAAGGTTGGGCAATCCTACTTCTGTAGTGATACTGCCTCGGAAACCCAAGGAGGGGTCGCTATGAGTCGGGGCTGACTCGACGGCAAACAACAACAACAACAACAAAGATTCTCCCTTAGGAGCTCTGGTGGCCTAGTGCCTAAAGCACTTGACTGCTAACCAGAAGGCTGGCGGTTCAAAGCCACCAGCCACTCCTCGGAAGGAAGGTTGGGCAATCTACTTCCGTAGTGATACCGCCTCAGGAACCCAAGGAGGGTCACTATGAGTCAGGGGCAACTCAACGGCACACCACAAAAGACTCTCCCTAAGGAGCCCTGGTGACGCATTTATTACGCACTCGGCTGCTAAATGAAAGGTCAATCGTTCAAACCCACGAGCTGCTCTGCAGGACAAAGATGGGCAGTCCTCTTCCATAAAGATTACAGCCTTGGAAACCCTATGGGGCAATTTACTCTACCATGGGTCAGAATTGACTCGACAACAATGGGCTTGTTTTTTTTTTTTTGGAAAGATTCTCCCAAGGTTAAGAAAGAACCCTTTGGCCTTGCCGTGGGTCATCTGATGTTCAGGGTGGCAAGGTAGGGTCTCCCTCCTCACTTTGTATCCCTGAGCAGGTGCACGTCTTTGACAAGAAGCTGGAGGAAATGACCAGTCAGGTGCTGCAGTGGAAGAGGCAGCACAAGAATGACCTCAAGATGCTGGCGGCCAAAGAGGAACAGCTCATGGAATTCCAGGTGGAAATGGCCACTCTGAAAGAGAAGCTCCTTGAAGACGAGAAGGTGTGCTGCTCCTCGGTGTCTCTTCGCTTCCTGTGGCCCTTCCCAACACATCCACCACCTGGATGCCCAACAGCTCCCCCAGGGGGGTCCCTTGGAGCAGGGAAGGGATATCCCAAGCTCACTATATCCAACACAAAACAAGCTCTGAGGACTGTGGGTCATGGCACCATCTCAACATAACTGTCTTCCCATGGCTTTGTTGGCAGAGAGAGTGCGCACAGAGCAAACACCCTGGTCCAGAGAAGAAACTGGCACCGCCTCCCTGTCAGGTACATGAGCCTGCCCTGCTTAGATAATCCACTGGTCACGCCTAGCCAGAGTCCCCCAACACTTTGAGCAGCCACGGAACTGGCAGTAAAATCAAAGGCAGTCTGGGCGTGTCCCCATCCCCAGCTCCCTGAGCAGTATGAGGTTCAGGGCAGGAGGGCTCAGGGCATCTCCGGGTGGCCACAGGGCCTCTGTGCAAATGAGAAAACGGCATCGCTTGTTCGAGATCTTTTTCTTGTGTTAAAAATTGGCTTAACATACTGCTTTTGTAGAACTAGGCACTAATGTGTTTGTCCTGAAAACCATTATTACATATGTACAAATCTACTGTGTCTCTTGCCTAAATGGTGCCTCCTCAGGGATGTTGCCTTCATGTGGGGTGCAACCTGTAGACCATAGGTGGGGGTCCTGGGGTGGCAACCTAGCTCTGTCCTAGGGGATGGACAGAGTCCATCTTTCTCCTCCTCCTTAGCAGAGCAGAGCCCAATCAGGAGGAGACAGGGGATGGGCCTATACCCTCTTCCCTTAAAAGCTGTCTTTCCACTTGCACTGAAGCCCTGCTGTGTGCCTCAGGTGGAAGTCCTTCGATCCACCCAGCACTCTGTGCCCAAAGAAAACTATAGACTCCACCGAGAGAATGATCAGATTATGACCAACATGGAACAGTGGGCCAAAGAACAGAAGTAAGTAAGGAAGGAAAAAAGAAAGGTCCCACACCTGGGGTTGAGCTAGAGAACCACACACACAGAGACACACACACACACACACAAATATGTATACCCTGCCCCCTAGGAATACTAATCCAATCTCAGCCCCTACCCAAGAGTTTAGTGTAAGGAGAGGGGTTCAACCCTTTGGGCAGGTTTGGAAATCCCTACTGCCTTCGAAATGGACCAGTCCCCAAGATGGAAGGGATTCTTAGTATGAGTCCCACTTCCTCTTCCCAACCTAAGATCCATCTCACTGACGGGATCCCTTGAACTCACCTGGAGATCAACTTGACTTTTTACACAGGAGTTAAGTACAGAGTCCTATCAATGGCCAGGTGCTAAGGTGGGTCCAGCCCTGGGCACAAAAGCCACCTGTGAGACCACCCAGTGTGCCACCCAACCAGCTTATGCTCTTGCTCACAGGAGGCTAAGGAACTGGCTGCTCTCTCTCTTGGGGATTTTCTTACAGGATCGCCAATGAGAAACTAGGAAGCAAGCTCCGTGAACAGGTCAAATACATCGCCAAACTGACTGGTGAAAAGGAGTAAGTCATCCTTTACTAACTTGGCTGCTTCTTGGGACCTAAGGTGAAGATTCAGCAACGAGGGCTGGCTTTGTTATTTGATGTGTGATTCAGTAAGGATAGGCCTGCTTCTTTGGGAAGGCCACCTAGTACAATTTCTGCATCAAACTATGTGACCTTGGATACCTCACTTTACCTCTTTGGGCCTTAGCTCCTCACCAACAATATGGAAGGGGTTTAATAGTCTCTGTGCCCCTTACCATTCTCCTCCGCTGTGATCCTCAGAGGTCAAAAATGCTACAAAAGGACCAGGCATTGAAAGGCAGACTACATTACTAAGAGCAGGACTAAGCTGCTATAATAGAGGTCCCCAAATGAAGGAGCATAGAACTTTCTCTCATCATGGAAGTGAGCAATCCAAGTCCGTGAAGTTCCTCTGTTCATCTGTTCCATGTAGTCATTCAGGGGCCTAGATTCTTTCTACTTAATGCTCCACTCTCCCGTGGTCTTGCTTCAACTGCATAATCAAAGCTGGGTCAGCCAAGAGTGAAGCATGGGGATGAGAGATGAGAGTTTGAGGCTAGTGGTAAAGGCATGAATTTAAAGTTGAGATTTTGCACATGGTACAATAACAAGCTCTAGGGAAGTACTTCTCAACCTTTTGTCAGAGCAAACTTAGGAAAGGACCACAATAGTATGGCAACATGGAGGGTGCAGGATGGAGCTGCTCATGGCAAAGTTGACCAACTAGAGGCTGCCCCAAACCCTGCCCCAAGGGCTGAGGACATCAGTATTGCAGCACACCTGTAACTCATTCATGGCACCTCAGTTGGAAAGCTCTGTTCTTGGCCTTCACCTTAGGAGAGTGACTGAGTTGGGGTGGAGATCAGATCATTAGAAGTGAGGCAGTGAAGGACCAAACACAGAATGGATTGTCTATGGAAGGCTGAAGGCCCTGAGGATGCTGACACAAGTGGTAGCAGAGAACACGGCAGAGCCAGGGAATGAGCACAGCTCTGGGACCCTACCTTCAGGCCCACTGCCACTGGAGTGGCCATCGCCTGAGGGGCTTTGGGGAAAGAGGATGCCTTCAAAGCCAGCTAGGTTTGTTGAGAACAAGAGGTAAAACATACATCCAAAGAAAAGATTTAGACTGAAGTCTTTATTTGATTTACTCTAAAGACCATGAGCTTTTTCACTAGGGTAATGACATTTTCTGAATGAGTTGAACTGAAAGAAAAAAATCTTTTTCTACTGTCATGTCTTCTTTCTTAGTTCCTTGTGATATGTCAGAATCTGAAGATAGCAGAGAACTCTAAACTTTTTCTTATGGTGTACTAAGTTCCAGAAAGTTGTTTCACTCTTGAGTTTGCCTGAACCTCTTTCAAAGAAAACCATCTTTTAATAGCAATAATAGCTCAACTAACATTTCTTGTTTACCATGTGCTAGGCCCTGTACTAAGGGTATTAATTTATTGAATCCTCATCAGACCCCATGAGTTTGACCAAGCTATCATCTCCATTTGAGAGGAGAGAAACTGAAAGCTGTAATTTTTAATAACTACTCATGATCTCACAACTCGTCAATGGCAGAGCCAGAATTCCAATCTGAGAAGTCTGCCTCCAGAGCCCACTGTCTACCACTGTCCTGGTTTGGGAGGGAAATTACTCTGGATATTAATTTATTGAGCCACAGGAAATGTGCTAAACTATCATCCCCCTCTCCTACATCGCCACCTCTGTGTCCTAATCCATAAAATGGGGATGAGTAATTTTCCAAAGCTCCCAAGAGAGATGAGCTATCTGTGCTCCCAACCCTTCAGCAAAGGAAAGTGGACAGAACATGGCTTTGGTATCAGAACTAGGTGAGAGTGTTTCTAAGGCCCGGCCGTGAGCAACCAAGGACACATCAGAAGACGCTTCCCAGCCTTTTGTCAGAGCATGCTTAGAAAAGGGCCACATGGTTCTTAGCGGCCATCTGCCTCTTCCAGTCAAATTTATATTATTTGTATAACTGGATCCTTATGTTAACCCCAGTAGGCAGGGTAGGCTTGATAGTTCCCTTCTAACAGACAAGAAAACAAGCACAAAGATGAGGGTGTCACCCCAACCCCAGGCCTGGGCTTCATCCGCTGGACACACACATGCCTCCATTTCTACAGAACTTGTGTGAGGGCCTGTGTTTGTTTCCTAGGATTGTCCTAACAAAATAAGACAAATTGGGTCGCTTGTAAACATAAATTTATTGGCTCTGTTCTAGAAGCTGGTAGTCCAAATTCAAGATGTCCGCAGGGCCATGCTCTCTCCAGAGGCTGCAGTGGAAGATCCTTCCTTAGCTCACTCAATGTCTGGTAGTCCTAGGTGTTCTTCGGCATTAAGACACATCTTCACATAGCTGTCTTTCCTCTGTCTGTCTCTGTCTTTTCTCTTTTATGAGAATACCACTTAGAATGGTTTGGGACCCACTCTACTCTAGTAGGGCCTCATGTTAATTGATAACATCTTCAAAGACCCTGTTTCCAAAGAAAGTCCTATTCATAGGTTTGAGGATTTAGGACTTCAACATCTTTTTGGGTGGCAACATTCAACCCACAGCAGGGCCTCAGCTCTGATGAGTTAGGTACCCAAGATCCTCTTTCTGTGACACCTTTATGTGTCTTTCCAGCAGGGAACCAAGCAGACCCAGCAGATCAAACACCCACCTGCCCTTCCCTCTCTTCCCACAGCCACCTCCACAATGTGATGGAGCATCTGCAGCAGGAAAACAAGAAGCTGAAGAGCGAGATGGAGGAGAAGAAGCTGAATGCAGGGCAACCAAAATTACACAGCAAACCCCCAGGCTTCCTAAGCAAAATGGAGCCCTTACAAAGGGAGAGAAAAATGTGCGGGGCAATGGGCTGGAGGGGGATGCCCCAGGAGTTGGGCCAAAGAATGGACAGCAAGTTGGTGGGGATGCCCCACTACTCAGGTAGGTCCCCCACTTGTCTTTTTCTACTGTCACGTCTCCCCATGTGTCCCATATGTCAAAAAATAACAAGAACATATTATTTTTAAAAAGATCACTGGATCGAGAATTCAAATAGGGACAAGCAGGTCTTGCATGACCTTGAGACATGGGCTTAGCTCTTCAAAGATAATGGCTTCCTCATATGTTGTAGCGTGAGGAGGTGGATTAAGATACATTCTGATCTCAGAACCTTGGATGATAGTCAAGTGCCTCACACCTGAGACCTACCCCCAGCCCCAGCCCCTTTTGGGGAGTATGAGGTCAAGAGAGCAGAATAGACTCCTTCTGGTTATGTGTTCTGGGAAGCCCACGAGAGCACCTTGGTTCCCTACAGCTGAGGTGCACAGCCACCTTTCCTGCCATCTGTAAAGTCCATATTACCCCAGAGGGAAGAAGTCACCCCACAACAGAGCTGCCTGGCCATGAGGCCAGTCCTTCAAGAATCACCATTCACTGCCCCTCAAAACTGTCATTTCCTCCCTGTTCCCTCAGGTTCCTCGTTTTGCTAGAACCAGTGCCTTGCCCTGAGCGTCATTTCCACGCATGTTTTTCCAGAGGACAAGCGAGTTCCCATCTCTCTTTCTTAACCTGGATCAGCTCTTACAAGAATATATCAGGGTCCCAGCCTACTTTGCAAACTGCTAACATTTTACTGAGATTTGTCCACTTCCTGCAGTGGAGTGAGCCCTGGAACCATACCACCACCTCTAGGCCCAAACTAAAATAAAGACATGAGCATAGCAGTCTCAGTGAGCTCCTGGTGCCTTGCAGACATCTCTGCCCCTCAAGTGCTCAGCAACATGCTCATCCCCATCTTCTCTGGATTCTAAAACATACGAGTCCTCTTCACTTCCATAGGCAACTCTAACCATCTATGTATCTGGATTTGTCTTTAAACCAACAAGAGATAAATAGCTCCCTAATTTCCATCTCTGGATTCCTTAAATTATAAAAATCTCAAGAAGGAAAGTAATCCTTAGACCCAAACGAAAGGAAAACAATTAAGTGATGCATTTTCCAAATGAACCGATGGCGAGATAGCCACCTGCTTTCTCCCTGGCCACCATATTCCATTCCTCCTTTTAACAACTTTTTCCCCAGCCAGCTCAGTACGAGTAAAATTCCATTATAACAAACTCCAAGGACAGCTAAACTATTTTATTGCAGTAGGATTTTGTTAAACTGAGTACATGTCTAGAATTTATATGGCTATAGGAAATTGAGAAAAATAGCTACTAGGGTCAAAGAAAGAAGGAGTCTGCATTTCTGGGGAGATAAAAGGGAGGGGAGGGAAAAACACCACTGGTTGTCAATGGTCCTTAAATATTCTTGCCTCCTCTCCCTGGCCAAATAAAAACTAAAAAAATTCACTGCTAATAGTGGCATGTTACATGGATGCCCCTGCCAGGGCTCAAGAAGGGCCAAGGCTCCAGAAGTGTGGTGTAAGGAGGGAGGCCCAGGCTTTCTAGGCATTTCCTTGGATGGTTGTTGTCTGCTTCTGCATTTTGGACTACGTGCCCACCCCCCTTGGTTTAGAAAAAGGGGAGATGTTCCAAAGGAAACAGAGACTTAAGAATATGATTCTAATGAAACTGCTTCCTAGTTCTAGTTAGTGGCTCATTTAGTCAAACAAACGTTCTACTTGTATAATATACTAAGAAGGGATTTTGTCTCTGTAATTAATTTATAAAAAGGTTTCATAATGTTGGTCCAAGTGGCACTATCTGGACACTTTGGATGCTGTGCATTTCTACAAAGTTGTCTTGCAAATTTTTACAAAGTTGTCCTGTGGGGGGAGGACATCAGAGCAAAGCAGGTCATGAGTTCCGGGACAGCAGAGGAGCAGCAAAGCCAGAGAAACATCCAGCCGACAGCCAGCACTCTAGCTCGGAGGACCAGGAGGACAGGCATGGAAGCGGAGTGCTGCCTGCCGACAGTTCTCTAAGGAACAGCCAAAGAAGAGAGTTCCCCAAAAAGCAGTTTGAACAGCTTATATTGAAAAGAAATGGCTATGAGACAGGACTTAGCCAAATGCTTCAACCACCCAGTGGGAGGATGTCACTCAGATTCTGTGAACTGGTGCCAGCAGAATCCTTTCTGTGGCCGATCTTACAAACCCAGACTGTAATTCTCCTTCCCGAGTTCAAGGAACCCAGTGTAAACCCAGCCTTCCCCAGCCTCCCTCACTAACGCTCCCTGTTCCTCCCTCCCTGGAAAGGGGGCAGCTCCCTCAACCATCATTTTGCCACATGGGAACCTGCCTTTTCAGCCTTCTTTCCTCAGCCCAAACTGAAGAGGAAGCTTCCTGCTGTGACAAGGGCCTGTCCAGCAAGCTTGGGAGTCCCCCGAATGAGCCCCCTCTTTCTCAACTTCAGACCTTTGACTGCGGACACTTCCTGTGCCTACACTATCCTGTTCCCATCACTCAGGCACTAAAGGGTGAATGCAAGGGACTGGACAGCACACCTCCAAGCCCCACAGAGGGTCACCTCCCATAGCCTGCCTCGGACAACACTCAGTTTCTTCACACCAGGAAGTCTGAAAGCATCAAACCAGACTGCTGAGTCTACTTTGGAGGCCCAGGGTCTAGTGAAAATCCGCAGGAACTGTTCTCACAGAAATGCTCTTACATCTCTCGAAAAAGAACTGGTTGTCATCTGAGGAAGAAACAAGGAGATTCAGAGTACTGGAGCTGGCAGGAATTGAAGGATGATCTAAATGGAAAGGGGCTGTAATGGAAGCACAGGTCCAGGTAGAATCTTAGGCAGACCTCCCAGTACTGGAACTTTCTGGAAGAGCCACTGGACTGGGTGAGTCTCCTCCCTCATTCTGCAGCACCTGTAGGCCAAAAGCGTCCCTCACCAGGTGACCCTAGCTTTTAAATCAGAAGGCTGGACTGGACCATAACCTCTCTGGCCTCATTTTTCTTATCTAAGGGACTTGAAGGTGGGTTTATGACCAAGGGCACAATTTGTTAGTAAGAAAGCCATTAACTGGAACCTCAGTCTTTTTCCTATTCTGTTGCATCCCAAGGCTGAGTATGCAAGCAGCTCACATACCCAGCCACCTCCTCCCTGACAAGTAGGTAGACGTGTTCTCCTCACCCTTCAGCTTTGTGCCAAGATTAGGCTTCCCAGCCAGGCAGCTGAAAGACCTCTCCAGAGCTCTGAGAAGCCTGCTTTCACCTGTATTCCCCCCAATAAAGGAAGTTCCAGGAATGGAAGTAGAGGTGGTAGCTGATGCTGGCAAACCCATCCACAAGACTGGCTTATGTTTTGCCTTACGCTGAGTTGTAACAGATGGAAATTCTAATTCCAGGAACAGTGAAAAAGGCATCAGGACCAGCAGTCAGTACAGTGAGCCAGGTGCCATGGAGCTCCCTTTGAACACTGGTCTGGTACCAAGGTGCCTCTGACCCCTAATCCTGTTGGTGACTTGTTCCCAACTAGTATACCTAGCAGATGCCCAGCTGGAGCGAATCTTGAAATAAGAATCATGGCTGGCACAAAGGGCCAAATACCCACCGCAACAGACATAAAAAGAATGCTTAACAAGAGAAAGGACGAGTGATTCCAGAATAAGGGCTCATCTTTTACATGAAAATCAGTAAGTAACACTTCACACTACTTTTTAGTCGATATACAGCCATTATACCTGCAGAGAATAGCAAGTTCTACCATTCTAAACTAACAGAGCGAGCCTCTTTAAAGCAGCCAGCCCAACCTGGGGAGGCCTGAAGGCACTCCTGCTCACCTCCCCCCACCGCCTGGCCCTCAGGGCCAGCCCCACCACCAGCCACCAACCTTGAGAGACAGCTGGGCACCCTCAGCTTGGCCTCCCCAGTCCTTGGTGCCCCAAGCCACTCTTAGATCTCCTTTCCTGTCACCTGTGTCCCAACCTCCCATCCATATTGGATGGGGACCGGAGGGTAGGACTAGGGTCCAGGAAGATCCATCAAAGGAAAGTCAGTCTGGGGTCCTACCTGCTCTCCTTACATGACTCTCGCCATGAGGGCAAAGAAACAGTCAGGTGTGCAGGAACATTTTACAAACAATAAATTTATCTCCAAATGCTGGATTATAACCAAATTATAATTCCCTCTTAGGTCTACTTTGCTACTTTACACGAGGATTAAAAAAGACATGGTCACAACAGTCACTTAGACACAAGCATCCCAGAGGCGGCTTACTTGAAGACGATGAGTCTGGCCACCTCTCGATCTGGCAGCACCTCAGCTGCTCTGCTGGGCCAAACAGCAGCCTCAGCCCCTTCCGAGAGCCTGCACTGAGGAACTCCTCCTTCCTTGGTAGCAGAGCCTGGCATCAGCAGGAACTTCCCCCAAGGGCCATAAGCAGATGTATGCAGATGAAAGTATACAAATGAGGGGCCTGTGTCCGGAGGCTTGGGACATCCAGCCGGAGGGCTCAGGACAGTATCTGGTCCCCTTCCCCGCCCAGGCACAGCTCAGCTCACAGCCCAAAGCGGGCTGGGGTGCGGCGAGGCGTCATGGGTTCCCCTTGTTCTTTCCGACCTGGAGTATAGATCTTTGTAGACCTGGAGACATAGGAAAAGAGGTTAGGAGACCTTGCTCCTTACTCCAACCCAGGACACAGGGTAGGATTAATGGTCTGAGCCTTGCTGATTCCAACTGGTGTGTAAAGAAGCTGTGGGGCTGAAGGCTCTTATCCCCCAACACATTTCCACTTGCCTTTCCTTCTCTATTTTTGATTAGAAACAGGAGAATAAAATAAAGGAAGCCTACCTCATTCTGATCTCCATTAAGGAATGTGGTATAAGAGATTGTTTTTTTTTTTTTAACTCATCTCCTGGAGTTCAGCTATGGAGGTAGCCTTCTCCCACCTCTCCAGGCTGCCACTCCAGCACCACACAGACACACAGGCCCAAAGCTCTTTTCTCTTTGGTTTCCAAACTCTTAGCCTGTCAGTAAAGCTAACCTGCTCTGTATCCAAGCCCCCCCTCAGGTACTGATCACACATGACAGATAGTAACTGGGCTTGCAGATGTACACCTGCCCCCATAAGGCACGTATGCCTCCACACAGCACCATCCACACACAGTCAACTTCCATTACCCATTTACACATTTAGCTTCTCTTATCCTTCTTCTCTGCATCCAGACCTCTAAACACATACTCCACCGGGCTCACCTGACACTGCCCAGGGGGCTGCGCTTTTCCTGCTCCTGTCGCCGGGCTCGCAGCTGCTCCTCAGCCAGTGCCATCTCCTCCTCCATGGCGGAGGCTTCCTCTTTGGCCCGACGGCGGTTCTCCTAGAGAGAGGAAGCGGGCATTGGCTGAACTACTTCAGTGAAGCGGCCTGACTACACCCATCTCTCTGCTGCAAACCAGGCACTGTATGGAGCAGGCCAGCTCTCGGAAGCAGGGGCCATGATCTGTTGTCTCAACACCAAGGCCACCTTTGCTTTTGAGGCCAAAGCCTGCTGTTTTCATTGATTCAAAGTGGAAATTGGAAAACTGAGACCTGACCCAGCGCTTACAATTTTTTTATCAAGTTCACAACTATGCCAGAAACTACAGTAAACAGGGAAGACACTACCAGCTGGCTGGAAAGGACAGACATTAAGGAAGATAGATGTGTACAGATCCAATGTAAGGAGGACTATGCTGTGAAAGGGAGAAACAAAATCCAGCAACACGGTGAAAACCTGCTGCCAACGAGGCAATTCCAACTCACAGTGACCCTGTAGGACAGAACAAACCTGCCCCATAGGGTTTCCTAGGCTGGAAACAGACTGCCACCATCTTTCTCCCACAGAGTGGCTTGTGGGTTCAAACTGCTGACCATTCAGTTAGCAGCTGAGCACTTAACTACAGTACCACTGAGGTAATGGTCATCAGTGGATACTGAATCATTAAGTAGAAGGAATAGATAGAGAATTGAAGAAAGAAGTATCAGGCTGATGGCAATCTTAGCACCATTACAAGTGGGATGACGAGTCCTTCCGTGCCTCCTTGTGGGATCTAAAGGAAGTACACAGCACCACATCTATGCACCCTTCCTAAAATACCTGCCCCTAGTGCAATCAAGCCTTTAGTGAAAATGCCAAGTTAGGTGCACATATTAAAAACCACCATAAGGAAGGAATCAGCCAGAATAGCCGATTTTGGCCAGATACAAAATAAAGAACAGTCCATGGAACAAGTGGCCTGATTTCTTCGATAAATTAATGTCATTTAAGGCAAAGCAGGGAAAGAGACTGTTTAGAACAAAGGACTTCAAACACCTAGTAATCAAATGCAGTGTTTCAATCCTAATTCAAGCAAACCAATCCTACAAGTTGTCTTTGAGATAACTAGGGACCCTGAAAGAACTGGAAATGAAGATTATATTAACAAATTTGTTAGGGATGATAATAGCATGGAGGTTACACTTACAGGTAAAAAAAAAAAAAAAAACAACTAGTAACAAAAACATACTTAAGTATTTACAGACAAATGACAAAACCTCTGAGACATGAACACATTCCAGAAGAATAAATGAGGTATGTGGATGGGCTTAGGGGGAGAAAGTGAAAAGAGACTGGCAGACTCCTCACCTGCCGTGACTTTCCTGCCTGCTTCACACTGTAGAACATTGGGCCCAGCTCCGCCAGCCACTCTCCATCCACAGCGGTCACACACTGCATGTACTCCTGTGGGTAGAAAGTGGCAGCAGTAGTGATCACAGAAGGGCCAATGAGTCAGGCTGTCCCTCCCCAGCGTGGTTCCACATAAGCAGCTAAGTGGGAAGGAACCCTAGCCCAGACTGTGAGTCTGGAACAGCAAGGAAAAGCCCCCAAGACAGGACTTTTAATCCCTTCTCTAAATTCTTCCATGCTTGAGAAAAATGGTCTCTAGGATCCAAGAGAAAAGGCCCAGCCTCTCAGAACACCCTCCTAATGATGGCAAAAGACGGTGCTCATCCGAGGAAGCAAGTAAAAAAACTTCCCCAATCTCCAACTGAAAACCAACCTCAAACTCCCCTTAGAGCAACACATGCAACCTCAAGTCTCCCCAGCTAAAAGCTCAGACCAGAGACAGTGAAGGGTTACAAGAGACTGGCCCAGTTGGAGGGCCTACATTATGGCAGCAGCCTTGGGAGACTCACCTTGGTAGTCATGACCAATTCATGATACACGATGTAGTCTGGGGTGTAGCCCATTCCAAAGAGGGAGCTGGTAGGATGCAAGTGGCAGGGCATCCCTGTCCGGATATTCACATACTCCCCAATTCCCTGGGAAAGAGACACAGCAGGTGACAGGCCAGGAAAACTCTGCCCTTTGGGCAGCTTCCCCATCCCTTAAAACTGCCCTGACATAGGCTTTGGCAGGAAACCCAGATCTGCAGAGCTTTGTGCAGGTGTCAGGCCAGGGCTGGAGCCCCAGCACCACTGGCTCCCTGTGCTCACCTTGAGCTTGGCTGCCTGATGGAAATAGGCGGCACAGATGCACTTCCTGACGATGTCCCAGTCAGTGCCAC